AAGGAGGGAAAAAAGTTAAAAATGGCCCAAAACCCCCCAAAACTTTCCCCCTTTAAACCAAAAAATTTCTTTTTTTCTTTTTTCTCCCCCTCTCCCCCACCCCCTTGAATTATAATTTTCCCCCCCCCCCCCCGGGGCGGAAAAACCGGGAGACGGGGTTTTTTGTTGTTGGCCGCCCCCCCCCCGGGCCCCCCTTTTGGTCCCACCTTTATTTCGTTCGAACCGGTAATGGGTTTTTACCATAAGACCCAACCCCCCTTTAGTTTGAAAAAAATTTAAAAAAGAAAGCCCAATTTTAAAATTCCCCTTTTTTCCCATCCATGGGGCCAGGGCCCAAAAAAAAAATTTCCCGGGGGGGGGGGGGGGGGGGCGGGTGTACGGTTTCCCGTGTCAATCCTCGAACTTGCGCTAGGCGAAGCCCCGGTAAAGTGAATGAATGTTGCCTGTCCGTTGGCCTACCTGGAGGTGTGTTGAGTGTAGGGTTGGAGCAACGTTTCAGGCTTTCGATTTTGATGGTGTTATGCCGTGCTGCTGCTGCCGCACACCCCGTTGTCCGTGCGTGGCGTTTCGTGGGAGCCCCCCCCCCTGCGAGTGAACCATGGTGTTTGTTGCCCTGGTGTTTGGTGAGAAACAAGCAAGGATCGATTGTCTTGGTGTTTTGTGTCTCTGGTTCCTATCCGCCGCTCGCTGCACCGTTGTTTGACAGCCACAAGCGGTGGCGGCGTCTTTGTGGAAGCTTTGGAAGCGTGATGGCAGTGCGCGCTTGTGCAGCCTAGACAGAGTGCCCGTGATAGTGAGATTGGCGGTGACAAAGGGTATCGAGACTCGGGGCCGGGGCGCGACACCGTAAGCAAAAGCAAAAAATGAGAATCGCGCCCTAACGATTGGTTGCTGCTGGTGCGTCGTAGCTCCTCTGTGTCTTGTGTGTTCGCTCTTGTTTTGTTGAGATGCATGGTTAGAGTTGTGCTCTAAAGAGCTGTGCTCTTGAAGTGAGACCCGCGGTATTGTGTTGGAATCCCGATTCTGGCGTCCTCCGAGAAATCTTACGCCTCTCGTCACAATCTACAGAGGGAAAGCATGCGTAGGCTTCGTACCGGATGGGGGACACGCCGCGTGCATGGCATTACCGGGAGGGATGCACGTTTGGTTTGCTTCGCTGATGCAGCAGCAAAAGAATGTCTGTGGGCGTGTAAAGCAAATCCCACCCCTTAACCAGTCGCCTAGGCTTCATCTGCTTCGCGAGTAACGCGATTTGGGGTTTGAGAGGCCGGCCGTAGAGCTGCCATTGAGTGTCGACGTCTTGGACTTGTGTTGTGTTGTGACGGTCCTAACTTCTGTTTGGTGTGCGCGAGCGCGTTCCGTGCAAGGTGGATGATGTCGGGGACCGTGTGGCTTGCTTCGCTGATAAAGCAGTGCCCAGGGGGCGGGATAGCTTAGAGCTGCTGTTGGATTTGGGGCTTGTGTTGTGATGTCGACTTTCTGTCTTTGTTCGTTTTTACGGTGTGCGTGGGAGGTGCTTGTTGTGCTTCTCGAGGTATACATTGCATGCGTATATTGCACCACCTCTCTTCGTCCCACGTTACGCCAACTTGCGTGACCGGGTTATTGTCTGGCTGGGCCAAGAAAAGGCGACAATTCTCACTGGAACAATATATACTACACGAAGAACCGTTTTTATCGTCTGTATGTTGTGCCGCATGTGTTTCCTCGTGCTATTTTAATGTTTTGCTGACTTCGTGTTGATCTTGGTCATGGTCGATGAATCAACCCCATTTTGCGTCGTTTGCAACGCCAACAGAGGAAGTGATGGGCAATGGACAAACATGGGGTGGGGGGGTGGGGGGGGTGGGGGGGCACCG